CGGGGGAGGGGGGCGGGCGCTGCTTTCATTTATCCCGCCGTTTAGGCCTGCGGCCGCCCCGCCCCGAGTTCCCCGCCTCGCGCGGCTAAGTGGCCTCTCCCTGCAGCCCGGTCCTTGTCCACAGCGCCATGGTCTTCTGCCTGGAGAACACGGAGCCGCGCCGCCCCCGGCGAAGCGCCATGGTCCACCTCCAGGCCTCGGAAGTCCAACAGCTGCTACACAACAAGTTCGTGGTCATCTTGGGGGACTCAAGTGAGTGCCCCTCTAGGATCACACGTCCCAGTCCCGCACCTGCAGCCTGTTTTCTAAGTCTGGGGACTTTGTCTCCATCTCTCACCTCCTCTCTGACCCCTAGTCTATTCCAGGCCAGTAGGTTTTCTCATTTTATTTCCCTGTGCACCTTCACAGGTGTCCTGACAGATGTAGCCTGTCAGGCTTTTCACACCATCTTGCTTAGCGGTTTTTTTTTTTTCTCCCTGACAGCTCCCATAATTTCCCTTACGGGAGCAGGTGACTCGGCTGACTTCTGCTAGCTAGGTGATCTCAGGTCCCTGTATATATACTAAGTTGGGGGTGGTGCACAACTAGAAGGATCGGTGGCAGTGCCAGGACTTTTGAACCTCACCCTTTCTCCTGCCTCAAAGTCAGCACCCCAAAGAAGTGGTGTTGGGCAACCCCAGCCCTAGGACTTGGGAGACACTGGGACGGGGTGAGGCTTGCCTTAGCCCCGGGATCTGTCTCCCTGCAGTCCAGCGAGCTGTGTACAAGGACCTGGTGCTCCTGCTCCAGAAAGACTCGCTGCTCACAGCCGCCCAGCTGAAAGCCAAGGTGAGGGAAACTCGGTAGCCATGCCAGTGGTGGGTGGGCACAGACCCTGGCCTGGCAGGGTTCTCCTCCCTGGCATGGGTCTGACCAGCTGGGTATGGGGGTGGGCAGGGGGAACTGAGCTTTGAACAGGACCAGCTGGTGGCTGGGGGTCAGCTGGGCGAGCTGCACAACGGGACACAGTACCGAGAGGTCCGCCAGTTCTGCTCGGGTTCTGGCCACCACCTTGTGCGCTTCTACTTCCTCACCCGAGTTTACTCCGAGTACCTGGAGGGCGTCCTGGAGGAGCTGACCTATGGGCCTACTCCGGACCTGGTGATCATCAACTCCTGCCTCTGGGATCTGTCCAGGTTGAGGCGAGGGGAGAGGGAAATAATTGGTTGGGGGGTGGAGGTATGGCTCAGAGGCCATCTGCCTCTGTGCTGTTGCCCACCCCCTGTGCTGCCCAACAGGTATGGCCGCTTCTCAATGGAGAGTTATCGAGAGAACCTGGAGCGGGTGTTCATGCGCATGGACCAGGTGTTGCCAGACTCCTGCCTGCTGGTGTGGAATATGGCAATGCCCCTGGGAGAGCGTGTCACTGGGGGCTTCCTTCTGCCTGAGGCAAGTGACCCAGCCCCCGGATGGAAGGAGGGGACAGTTGGTTAGTCGGTAGAGGACCGTCCATCCCCAGCCTGCTTCACTCTGTGGCTCTTAGATGCTGTACTTTCTCTCAGCTCCAGCCCCTGGCGGCCTCTCTGCGGAGGGATGTGGTTGAAGGGAACTTCTACAGCGCTACGCTGGCTGGGGACCACTGCTTCGACGTCCTGGACCTCCACTTTCATTTCCGGCATGCAGTACGGCACCGGCACCGGGACGGTGTCCATTGGGACCAGCATGCCCACCGACATCTCTCACACTTGCTTCTGACCCATGTGGCTGACGCCTGGGGTGTGGAGCTGCCCAAGCGTGACTACACCCCTGGTGAGCCCTATCATGAGTGGGGCGGGTCGTGATGCAGAGAGGGCCCGCATAGCACAGGGCGCACAAACAGAACAGAACAGAGGTACTCTAGGGGAATAGAGGCCCCTTAAGGATGGCTTCTTTCTTCCCCCCCCTGGGGAGGGTAAGATTACAGGAGCAACAGGGCAGTCCAAGTTCTGGTTCTTGGGTCTTCTACAAGCATTGAGTACATGAGACAGCCTGTCAAAAGATCCCTACCCTGCAGATGAACTAGAAAGAAATGGGAGTACTTTGAGCTAGGCACGGAAGTGAAGGGTAGAAAGAAAGACAGGGAGGAAGGCCAAGCCAGGCGGTGTGCAGAAGTCCCTTGGCTGGTGCTGTCAGCCTCAGTTCCCGCCTGCTCCAAAGGGGACATCATGGCTGAGTGTTTCTCCGTCTGCTTCTCTCTGGATCACGTCCTCAAAGGAAAAGTTTCCTGTCTCCCCTTGTTGACGGCTCACGAGCCCTTTTGCTTCCATGTTTAGCACAATTGCTGTGTGCACAGTATCTACAGTTTAGTGTTTGATGAATGAGAGACATGAGTTGTGTTAGAAAGCTGTTTATCAAAGCACTGGAGGCGATGGTGGGCAGGCCAGGAATGTCATAGAGGCAGACTTCTGGGGCTTGGCAGCCAGGAGTTGGAGCATCAGGGAGGTAAATTAGGACTTTGACTATATAATGGTCCAATTTTCTTGTTTTTTTAGATGAAAGAACTGATCCCCAGCAAAGAAGGGATGCTCTAAAGGCTGTAAGGCTAGATTGTGGTGGCTCAGGTCTCCTGAGTCCAGTTTACAGCTACAGAAATAGGGGCATCAAAAGGCAGAGTTGGGTGGGAGACTGAGTTGGTGAGTTTGGTCAGCTCAGTTCTGTTTGAGATACTGTGGAAAGGTGGAGTAGACTTGGAGTCAGTGGTGTTCACAGAGAGATGGAAGCTGAAGGGCATGAGTGTGAACCTCAGAGGAGACAGAACAACAGCCACATTTTGGAGGTGGAAGGAAAGAGAGGCTAATGGAGGAAACAAAAGGAGATGAAGGTAGAGGCATTTTCAGGGAGGACGAGGCTATTGGCCATGTCATGTGACCCTCAGGAAGAAAGGAATTTGTTAAATTTGCCAGGAAGTGGCTACATTTAGTGGGAAAAGTGTTGCAGAATTGGAGCAGGGGTAAAAGAGGTAGTGAGCAGTTGCTGAGGGGATGGAAATTGGGCACAATACTCTGGACATTTGAAAGGAGCAGGCACTACTGGGGGAAGAGGGTGACAGGATCTTTATGTTTATAAGAGAGAAGATTTACTAACTTATTTATTGCTCTGTGGTTAGTTCTCAGAGAGGGAAAGACTAAAAGACCCAAGAGCTGGGCAAACAAAGTGTAGAAGGCTCTTTTGAGGGGAGCATGAGGTCAGAACAAAGGTGGATCTGCTGACCCTTGAGAAAGGCAAGAGAGAAAGGGAACACACCTTGGGTTTGGCCTGAAATGAGAGGGAATGAGGAAAAACTGGGTAGATGGCAGAAGGTACTCCCGCCTGGAGGAGGGAGTAGAGGTTTAGGAGTGTGGAGGGCTAGAGTTCAGGGCAGCCTGGCCTCTCAGGCCTTCCTAAAACAACCATCCCATTCCTAGACCCATGGATTGAGGACTGGCCAGAGCCGGATCATCTGTTCCAGGGGAGCCAGGGGCAGCCCCCAGACTTTGGGGAGCAGCTGGCCTTGCCCCCACCTTCTCCCTTGCCCCCTCCCATGCCTTTTCTCTACCCCCTTCCTCAGCCCTCCCCACCTCCCTTGTTCCCACCCCTGCCCCAGGATGCCCCTTTCTTCCCATGCCAACCCTTCCCAACCCATGAATTCTTCAATTATAATACAACGGAAGACTTCTCAATGCCACCCCATTTAGGTAGGTGCCTCTGCAGCCTCCCATCACAACTTTCCCAGCCTCTCCTTGCACCTTTCCCAGCCTAGCTTCCCCACCCCCTCCTCAGGATTGGGTTCAGTCATAGCTGAGTCTAGAACAGCATATGTGACTCATTATTCAGCTCATTGATTGTCACAGTTTCCTGATGTGGAGGAAGTATTACCATTTTGTACATGGGGAAACTGAAGCCCAAAGAAACTCACCCTGGAGGATCAGAGCAGCCTAAAGGCAGAGCTGGGCTCCCCCTGGCTAGAAGCCCACTCTGATAAATGACTGGTTCTTTTGTAGGATGTGGCCCTGGAGTGAACTTTGTGCCTGGTCCACTGCCACCTCCAGTTTCTGGCCCTATGCCCCACGGTCAGCACCGGGGCCCGGTGGTCCACCGGGGAATGCCACGCTGTGTTCCCAGCAGCCCCTACCATGTGCCGAGGATGGGGGGACCCTGCAGGCAGCGGCTCAGACATTCAGACAGACTGGTCCACACATACAAACTGGACAGGCGGCTTCCGGCACATTCGGGAACATGGCCTGGGTAGACTGG